ACACACACACACACACACACACACACACACACACACACACACACACACACCGTCTGCGGGCGGGAACGGGTTTGCGTCGTCAACAGATGCCCTGCTGGCAGTGTCCGATGTTGACGGTGCGCCACTCCGCGTGCGCGGCGACGGCGCTGGCTTTGGCGGTTTGGACGCAACGGCCGGCTTGGCAGCGACTGTTGGCGTGGTTGGCGTGGTTGGCGTGGTTGGCGTGGACGGCTTGGTGGTGACCGAGGGCCGTGGGGGTTTGCCCGAGGACGGGGGACGCGGCGGCGGGGCATCGGATGGAACGGATTCGGCGATGCTCATGCGGGAGGAGGAGGGCGGGGTGCTGGCGGTGCTGCTCTTGCGGCTCAGGAACGGATTCGGCTGAACAATACACATGACGGTCGATTCCGAGTCAAAACCGAGGGAGACGGGGGATGGGTGAAGGATGATGGTGGATGGGCAACAAAGAGGTGAGCATGGTTGCTATATGTGACAGGGCACCACAACAATGCAACAAGGGGGGGGGGCGGTTGCAAGGGCGTTGAAGCAGACAACAAGCACAGCGTGCATGCGCGTGCATGCGCGTGCATGCGTACCGATGGCTTGCTGCTGGTTGGACGTGGTGGTGGTGTTGCCGTTGGCGTCTGGGAAGTCGGACTGTGAAAGACACCACAACGCAGATGCGACAAGAAACGAAAAAAGTCACGTTGACGCCCAGTCAAATCATATGTTCCTTCCTTCGCATGTACACGCGTGCTTTCACAACACACAACACACAACACACAACACACAACACCCACATGCACACAACACGCAATCACCAACCCCCAGATGAACACAGAGCATGCGCACGCCAACATGCAAGCGCACCTGAATGGGTTTGACGAGACGCGTGGTGATGGCTTCGTGCTGGCTGCGGGGCGCGGTGGCGGCGTGCCCTGCGGCAGATTCGCCTGCACATTCGTCACCGATTTGCGCATTGATCCTGGCGAGCGCGGCGGCGTGCTGCGTACTGGTGGCACGGGTGTCGACAGCTTGGCGTTGAACGGGTTGGTGGGCTCCCCCTGCTGGTGTGCCGCTGTTGCTGCTGCTGATGATCCGGGCGTTGATGTCGCTGATGACGATGACGCGATCGATGCAGCGCTGCCTCTGCTCTTCGGTGTCACAGCCGGCGGTGTCGACTGCATCCCGCTCCCGTCCGGTTTCTTGCGCAAAGTCGGCGCGCGGTTCATGCCGTGCATTGCACCCGTTGTTGCTGTCGTGGCAGCAGCAGCAGCTGGTGGCGGCTTGGCGAGCGTGGCTGTCTTCGCGCCCGCTGCTGGTGACGACGATGCAAACGGGCGCGCTGGCGGAGTGCGCAGTGTTGCTGTGGCTGCCGCCGCCTCCTTGGCGTGCATGGATGCAGACGATGACCGGGGCGGGTTCTGATAGCTCGGGGGCCGGGCCGTGGCGGCCTCAGCCTCGCTGTGTGCGTGCGTGCGTGTGTGTGTGTGTGTACGTGTGCGTGTGTGTGTGTGTGTGTAGAATGCGTGGAGGGAGAGTTGTGGCGATGGCGCGAGTGAGAGGAGTAGCAGGGATGACAACACAAAGAGTAGCAACGCAAGTCATGTGTTGTACACGCGAGGGCAACAAATTACAACGGACATCCCATCGCCAGCACACCACACAGCAACCACGACTTGTGCCCTCACCCGTGTGCGGTGTCCTCGGTGTCGCCGTCTGCGAGCGTCTGCTGCCGCATGTCCTCGAGCAGCGTGGAGAAGCGGTCCTGCAGCTGGCCCAGCTCCTTTGGACACGCCTGCCCGTGCACGGCGACGCCAGCCTCAAGAATCGTCACCTGGGGAATGTGCATTGGGCGAGGGGGCAAGGGATGAAGGGAAGGGGTTGAGCAAGAGAGGGTGCGTATGGCATGGGTCAACACGTTGGGTGCGAGAGCGTGGCTGCTAATGTGGTCGCACGTCCTCACCACCACGACCACCACCGCCACCGCCATGGCAGTACCTGCTGCTTGATGAGGCGTTTCAGGCGCTGCACGTATTCGGCCTCGTCCGGATTCTTCGCCAGGAACTCCTCCGTGCAGAACGCCTCCCTGTCGCCGTCGAAAAACAGCGGGCGAGATGGTGGTGATGGTGAGGACGTTATCGCACATGAAACGCGTCCACACAACTTTATACATCCACACATCCGCACATCCACACACGCATCCACACACACACACACACACACACACACACACACACACACACACACACACACACACACACACACACACACACACACACACACACACACACACACACACACTTGATGCGCATACAATATACACACACACACGCATCCACACATTCACACACACACACACACACACAACCACAGAGGTCGCACCTGTATTTGTTGACACCGCCCATGACGGCGGCGTCGAGGACGCCCTGCAGCGCCATCGTCAGCGGATTGACGTTCAGGCTCGGGTCAGACCCGTGCAGCTGGCGACGATGCATTTGGGCGGAGCAGGAGTGAAGAGGATAGGAGAGGTGAGGAGCAGCGAAAAGAAATGGAGCAACGGGCAGGTTCCTCTGTACACACCCACACCCACCCACACACCCCACACACGTACCTCGATGACGCTGCGGAGTTCCTCGTTCTTGTCGGCCATGGACTTGACTGCGTTTTGCACGGGCGACTGCTCTGCTCGGGTGGTCTTCACCACCACAGCCCGCATCTCTTCGCACGGCAGCTGGCCGGCAATCTCCATTGTCGCGCTGATCAGGGTTATGGTCGAGGTGCGTGCAAACAATCGCGGGACAAGCAGCATGTGAGCGTCAAGGATGGCTTCGTTTTGAGCGTGGACGTTTTGTGTTGCGGGTGGGAGTTCAGACGATGATGACCACCGCCATTGCTGGTGCAAACGTCATCACCACCCACACACGCACACGCAACACGCATACACCGCATGTTCATTCGCCCACTGCCACGCACGTTTCGGTCCAGAGCGTTTCAAACTCGTTGTCCGTCTGCTTGCCCTTGTGGAAGGGGCGTTCAAACTTGAACACGCTGACGTCGTTGCACCGGTAGTACTTCTTCAGCTCCTCCGGCACGGGTTTGCCCTGTGCATCCGAACGGCGCGCAGTGGAGGTGGTGGATGAGGCGGAGAAAAGGAGAAAGGCGAGCAAGGGGGAAGAAGAGACGAGGTGGGGGATGGAGTGTGGGTGCGTTGGTTGCGTGCATGTGCGCGTGCGCGTGTGCATGTGCGTGTGTTTCATCTGTGCGTGCGCGTGTCTGTCTGTGCGTGCGTGCTTGCGTATTGTGTTTGGGTCATTGTGCAGGTGCATACACCACCGCTTCAACCTTCTCTGCCATCGCACCTTGAAGGGGAACGACTCGGGTGTGACGACGGGCGACACCTTTGAGATCATGATGCGCTGGTCTTTGCTCTGAACAAGCGCAACCGCAGGCCAAGGTGGAGGCAGTCGTGAGCGTGGTTGTGAAAACAAACAAACACACACACGCACACACGTTTAGACGCACGTACACAGAAATACAGATGCCCAACATCAAACACATGCACACAACCTCAAGCGTACACACACACACACACACACATCCCGACATGTGCATGCACACCTGCTTGAGCTCGTCGGTGATTGGCTTTGGAGACATGAGCAGCTGCGCCGTCGGGAACTGGTTCTGGATGCGCTCGCAGAACACGGTGATGTGGTCGTTCTTGTTGCGGGAGCGGTAGATAAACTCCTTGTTGCGCATGTGCTCCGGGAACGTGCTGCCCCAGTACCCGACCCGGAAGTACTGGTGATGGAAATGACGAGGGGGTGGGAAGCGGTGATGGTGACAATGACAGGGGGGGGCGTGGTGGTTTCAGAAGGTAACAATGATGATGAGAGGTCGCACGAAGGGCAACCACGTGATGCAAGAACAATAAAACAAAACAATACAAACAATACAAACAATACAAACAATACAAACAATACAAACAACGCAGCGCTGACGGGTTCCATGACACGGCACAAGATGTAATGCCGCGACATGGCACGAAGAGAACAGCACCTGTGGCTCTGCCCGAGTGCCCTTGACAATCTTGTCGAGGAACGCGGCGCGCTGCTGCAGAACATCGCGCAGCTTCACAAAGTCAAACAGCTCCTCGTCATACTGGCGGGCGGTGATGTGGGAAGAACAAGGGTGAGGAAGGAGTGAGAGGGTCGCCTGCGACACACACTTGACACACACACACGCACACACACACACACACACACACACACACACACACACACACACACACACACACAAGCACGCGCGCGCACATACACACACACAAGCACACACACACACACACACACACACACACAAAAGTATACGCACAGCACTTCACGTCCTGTTCACGTGTGCGCGTGTTTTATTTTCACTGACCTGTACGGCGAGCTGCTTACAGAGCGGCATTGCGCGCTCCCAGACCTCGCCCTTGTCGAGCAACTCAATCGACTTGGCAAAGATGGCCGCCTTCCTCTCGCGCGCCGTCTGGTGTTGGTGGCAGGGCGGCGGCGGTGATGTTGGTGGCGATGTGGTGGTGATGTGAGGGAAGGGGAGAGGGAGGAAAACGTGCGCGCGGTGTGTTTACAGAGCGGTGAAGAGAATGGCAGACAGGGCAATGCAATCAGATCACGTCGTCACCTGTGGCGGGTACAGCTCCTTGCCCGAGGAATCCTTGAATGCTTCCAACTTCTCATCCGACCACCCCAGCTGTTGGTCGTGGGTGAACGCGTGTGAGGGGAGGCAATGTGAATGTGTGCGAGTACGTGCGCGTGTGAGTGTATGTAATGTGCAACGCATACAACGCACCACGCAATACAAACTCAGCTGCTGCTCCCGCCACCACCACCACCACCACCACCATCATCATCATCGCCCTCACCAAGTCGGCGTGGAGCTTGAGGGCGAGCCCGGCCTCTGCAAACTGCGACGACCGCACGTGAATGTCCGTCAGCTTCTCCACATAGCGCTGTCATGCACCACGCGTGCGGGCAGTTGATGCAGCGGGGTGAGCGATGTGAACATGTGTTGGTGCTGGGCACAGAGGAAAGCATGCACTCAAGTCAACAACAGCACCAGCAACGACGACACCAACACACGCGTTCTCATCACACCCACGACAGAGAGCAGACGCGACTCCATCGTGATCATCACCTTCATCATCTCGAGCCTGTCTGTGCGGCCATAGAAGTGGATGAGCGCCATCATGCATCCTGCGCGCTGGTCGCGGTGCCGGTCGCCGTCCGGGACATTGCGCAAGTTCAGCAGGTGCCCAAGCAATCCCTCCATGTCTGAAATGTATTTGGGCAGCGTTTCCTTGATGCGTGCGCTCGAGCACATGTTCACCCGCTCCTGTGCGTGTGTGCGTGTGTGTTTTGTGTGCGTAAAGAGTGAGTGTGTGAGTGGGCGAGTGTTTTGTGTGCGTAAGGAGTGAGTGTGTGCGTGTGTGAGTAAGTGAGGGAGTGAGAGAGAGAGAGAGAGAGAGTGTGTGTGTGTGTGAGAGAGAGAGAGTGTGTGTGTGTGAGTGAGAGAGACTGTGTGTGTCTCAACAGGTTCAAGCACCAGACCACGTGGTGACGTACGGTGAAGATTGCCGAGAAGACGGCGATGTACTCTTGGTCCCCTGCGCCGGCGGTGACGGTCGTGTCGAGCTGGTCCACCATCTCGTTGATCACCTCTCCAAAGTCCCCCGTCGCGTCTGTCTGCTTCTGTTAGCGATGATGATGATGATGACGGTGGTGGTGGTGGTGGTAATCATGAGGCCGCGGTAGTGGTGTGCAATGTACGTTCCGGGGTGCTTGAACCATCGCCATTTGAGCAGACAAGACCAGCGAGTGCAAAGCATTGTGATCTGAGACAGGCATGAGGAGCAGCAGCACAGCGAGCATTCGCGTCACCACCTCGATCATGTCGAAGAACATTGGGATGGTGAGGCGCCGCACGGCCTTCTGCGGGATGAGCGCCATCTCCTGGAAGGGGCCAACCAGCGCAGGCGTAAACACAAGCTGCAGGTTTGGTTGTTATCGGGGGAGGGGGAGTTGGGAAGGGAGGAAGGTGAGTCGTGGAGATAATCACGTGAGCAGCTGTTGTGTGCACAGGAGTACCCACGCATATGCACATGCGCGCACAACCACCGAGTGTTCGCACACTGTTCAGGCACGAAAACACCACACACAACCACCACCACACACCACCAACATCTTGGCTGCCAGCGCACCTGCTTTGCCTTGAGGGCGTTCCACATGTCGACCACGTGCTGCGCCATGAGCTCGCGACGGTCGCCAAGTTTCCCGAGAATGTGCGCGCGTTTCGTTTCGCTGAAGTCTTCAACCTGAAGACTGCGCTGGCACATGTAGCGCACGGCAAAGCGGAAGAATTGCGACCACAAATCCTCGAGGAACAGCGGATCGTGCAGGAAGTGTGCACGCAGGTGCTGGCTCAACTCTGTGAAGGGCCGGGGGAAGGGGTGAAAGAGAAAGTGTGATTAATTGTGTGAACTGACAGGGGATGGGGAAACAAAACTGATTACAGCAGACATTGAGCTGGATTGCAAAGTACGTGCATGTGTGTGTGTGCGTGTGTGTGTGTGTGTGTGTGTGTGTGTGTGTGTGTGTGTGTGTGTGTGTGTGTGTGTGTGTGTGTGTGTGTGTGTGTGTGTGTGTGTGTGTGTGTGTGTGTGTGTGTGTGTGTGTGTGTGTGTGTGACAGGGTGTGACTGTGGGTGCGTGCGAGCTGCACCTTTCGTGACGCTGAGGATGACGTCATTGAGGACCATTCGCATCACGACCCAATCCGGCGGATACACCTCCTGCAGTTTGGTGGGCACGGGGTGAAGGCATTTGTGCATGCGTGTGGGAGTGAGTGTGTGTGTGTGTGTGTGTGTGTGTGTGTGTGTGTGTGTGTGTGTGTGTGTGAGTGAGCGTGTGAGCGTGTGAGTGTGTGTGTCTGTCACGACACCATCACCACCACCACCACCACCATCACCACGACGTCGTGTACGTTGGTGACGACGCGGTCGAAAGCGGCAAATGCGGCAGCGAAGAAATCCGGCAGCTCCACGTCGCTCTTCTGCGTGATGATCGCCTGAAGAGTTGGGCCGGGAGGAGGGAACACGTGGGGTGAGGCCAAGCGGCAATGGTGCAGAACAAGACGTGCGGACAGCTAGACAGAGGTGCGCGTGCACACGAGTTACGCGTGGCACATGCACATGCACACACAACACGAAACACACACAAAACACAACACAACACAACACAGCACAACACAACACAACACAACACAACACACAGAGGGGCGTACGTGGTAGGTGTGGGGGCTCATGAGGTTGAAGAGCTGGAGGAGCGCCGTGACGAGCCGCGCGAAGAAGGGCGAGGCCGTGTTCATCTTGTGGCAGACCTTGAGCAGGTCAAGCAGCAGCGTCGACGCCACCTCCACAATGTCGTCGGGAGTGGTGTTGGACGACGAGGACAGCACATCCAGGATGCTCTCCACGATGTCAAGCACGTTACCGAGGTGGTCGCCTGCGCAATGTGGGGATAACGCGGGGGCGTGGGGCATGCAGTATGAAGGCGACGCATACATGCACATACGAACATGGATGGAAAATATGAAAACATGTGAACACACACACACACACATTAACACACACACACATTAACACACACACACACATTCACAAACCTTCACAAACACTCACACACACACACACACACCTGTTGCGAGGTGGAATGAGATGATGGTGGTGAGCGGGGTGTTGAGGTGGAGACGGCCCTGTCTGCTCGTGTACAGCGGGCTCTTCACCAAGTTGTTCAGGAACGACAGCTTGTGCTCGTTCAACTTGGCATTGCGCAGCAGCGAGATGGCCTGGATAAAACTGGTAGCGTGTGCGTTGTGTGTTGTGTGTATGAGGTGTGTGTTGTGTGTGTGTGTGTTGTGTGTTGTGAGTGCGTTTGGATGTGTGAGAATATAGGTGGGCGAACGAACAAGACAGTCAGGAGCGTGCAAGACACGAAGGCAAAGGAATGCGGCTCCATCTGCATGCGCGTGCATGATAATGGACGTTCAACTCACCCCTGGACCACGCCCCCGAGCTCGCTCGTGTTGAAGATCTTGTCCATTCCGTGGAAGACGTGCGCAAAATGCTGATCAAATTGGAGGCGATGGCGACGATGATGGAGATGGTTTTGTGCGGTGGTGGAGTCGTGTAGACGAATGAGTGTACATGTGCATGCTTATGTGTGGATGAGCATGCTTACGTGCAAATGAGCAGGCTCACGTGTGCACACACTTCCTGCATGGACAAAGCGCACGTTGGACCACCTCATGCCATCAGCACAGTCAACGCCTTTCGCGTACCTGGAGGGTGATACTCTGGGTGCCGATGAACTTGCTGTCGTCCAATTCCATCATGAGGTTGAACGAGCGGAACAGTTCCCTTAATTTCCCCTTGAATCCCTCCACATCCGCCCGCCCGCTCCTCTTCGCCAGCTCAAACGACTGCATGGTGTGATGCACACACGGGAACGGCACGGGGGCAGCGGCAGAAGCGGCCAGGGTGTTGTGAGCATGTAGCGTGTACATGTGTGTGCGTGAGTGAGCATGAGATGCTTTTGTGTGTGTGCGTGCGTGCGTGTGTGAATGAGATGTGTGTGTATCCGTGCACCACCAGCCACCATCGTCACGTCAGGACGAGAAGCATCAGCGCACCCTGACGATGAACTTGAAGATGTACTCGATGGCCTTCATCGCGTTATTGATGCCCTTCAGCCGCGAAATGTCCTCCACTGATGGTCGTGATGACGGGTGCGGGAAGAGGGCAGGCGTGAGTTGCGTACGGCGGAGGGACGCCAATGCAACTGATACGGGTCCAACCAGCACAGACACAGACAGACAGACAGACGGGCACACACACAGACACACATACAGACACACATACAGACACACATACACACACACACACGACAGCGCCGTACCGTCCTTGACTTGGGAGTGGAGGGAGGCGACGAGGTGCGGGTGGAGGTCCGTGTGTGCAAAGTGGTGGTCGATGTACGTGTCGAGGACAGACCGGAAGTCCTGGTAGCGACGCGGCAGGACAGCCTTCTTGATGATCTCAACAAGCGTCATAAACACCTTGTCTGACAGCCCGTTGTGTCTGTTGAGAGTTGAAAGGGGCAGAGGAAGGCACGAATGGCGGGTGGGTGAGAAGACAAATGCGCGAAGGAAACGCAAAGGGTGAAGGTAAGCCACCCCCTTTTGCGTCGAATAAACAAACCACACTGTGAGAAGCAAAACCACGGTCGCAAATCGGGGTTGCCTGCAGGCAATTCGTGGCGTGCGGCTTACTCATGCAGGATGCCGAAGATGGCGTCAAAGATGTCTGTTGGGAACTTGATGATGTCGATGCTGTCCACCTTGTCCTTCACGTCATCCAGCAGCCCGCCCTGAGATGGGGTTGGAAGAGGATTTCATCGTAAAGGAGGGTGACCATGACAGCGGTGAGCATTCGAAGGAGTAGGGGAGATGTGAGCAGAGCTGTACATGCCCAAGGCCACATTTATAGACAACACACAACAGCACATGCAACCAGCGCATGCACCACGTTTCGAGAACCCAGCACACCGTCATCACCAGCACCATCATCATCATCATCATCACGGCAGCACTGCAACGCACCAGGGAGCCGACGGGGGCCGTGCGCCAGGTCAGCAGCTTGCGAAGGCTCACGTTTTGCGTCAGCTGCACAGGAGGGAACGGGCGCAGTGTGAGAGGGGGTTGAAGGTGGTGGAATTTGGGCAAGAAGCTGTTGCGCTTCGCACGCAAGTACAAATTGACAACTGTGCACATGAAGACTGTGCACGCGACGACTGTGCGTGCGGATGTAGCCCTAACATACACACACACACAGATGCGCACACACACACACACACAGATGCGCACACACACAACCCCTTTCGTGCACCTTGGTGGAGCAGAGGGAGGTGCGGATGGTGAATTTGTCCTTGACGAGCTGGTCGAGCCCGTCCGTGTTGGTGAGGTACGCTGGTGGGCCCTCGTTCACGCTGTCGTACAGCTTCTGGTACCGGTACACGGGCGGGTGGTGCGGCCCGTCTGCAATGGCAGTTTCATGGCGGAGGTCCACCAGGCGGATAAACGCAAAACAAAACGTTTCGTTCTTCGAGCGGTCCTGGGAGGACTGACAGTGGCGGAAGTAGAACTTGATGTGCGTGCGGGCAAACTGCTGGGGGTCGATGGAGATTTTGAACGTTTCGTTCCACGTTGGGTTGTTGTTGTGGTAGTAGATGACGCTGCCAAACTCGTTCACGGGCGGCTCGCCAACGCCGAGATGGATGCAGTCGGACAGCTGTGGGGGCGGAACCAAGGGGGGGGGGAGGAAACACGAATGTCAGTTGATGAGCAGCTGAGGCAACAGGAAAAACAAGAACAACAACAAGAACAACAACAACAAGAACAACAAGAACAACAAGAACAACAAGAACAACAAGAACAACAAGAAGAAGAACAACAACAACAACTCAAACAACAACAACTTAAACAACAACAACTTAAACAACAACTTAAACAACAACAACAACAACAACAACAACAACAACGCTGCGCCGACCTGGACGCCGTCGTCACTGCAGAGCGAGGCGACAACTTCGATGTTGCGTGGCCGCTGCTTCCCGCGCGGATCAAATGTCCCGTCGCAGATGGTCACGTACAGGTCGTTCCGGCCTTGCTCTGATGGGGGTGGGGGAACGAGGTGGTGGGTGATGATGATGCATGGGCGATGGAAATGGGTGTGAATGGGTGGTGGATATGCGCTGTGGGCATGATGTGATGA